TTCACAGCCACGTGAACTGAGGCTTTCCAGAAAAGGAAAGTAACTTGCTTAAAGTCACACAGCACTGTTAGTAGAGGGCCAAGGCCTTCCAAACCAGTGCACTCCTCCAAGTCCAGCAGCACCACTCACCTTCCCCAGGTGTTTTTGCCTCTATGGCTCCAAGACTGGGGTTGGGGTGCGGGTAATGTACCGGGTCTGGTATCACATCCCCCACCTCCACCCTAAGGCCTGGATTGAGGAACACTGAGGTTAAGTTCTACCTCAGCCAAGAAGTTCAGGGTGTCTCCCAAAATCTGACCATCTTCCCTGAAGCAAAGGAGAGAGGCCTTGGCTGACAGAGCCGCGGTGGGATTGGGAAAGGGGGATCCAGTTGTTTCTGCTCTAAAACAAGGGAATGGAGCCACTCCGTGGCAGGGCTACCTCAAGAGAAGTGTGCCTAAAGGAATGGGCGACTAGGGGGTGGTCTGGCTAGTGAGAGGGTAAAAGGGGGCTGCTGTGCTGGGGAGTTGGACCCTGGAGCCCTGTATCCTTTCCAGCGAAGTGGTCCGAATGCTCCGCTATGGTCCCACGTGACGAATGAGTCCAAGGAGGACATCCTGCTCGGGCCTGACTCCGGGCTCCCAGCGACTCCACCCACCATCCTTCAGGCGGGGCAGTAGGACCCAGGGGCCGGGAGAGCGAGGGGCGGGGGCCATGCGGTCTGGGGGAGGTCTTTTGGCTTTTTTTGCGGAGCCCGGGCGCCCTCCGGAAGCCTTTCTAACTTTCCAGAAGTTTCTCGGGACAGGCGGGAGGGGGGACGCCATATATAGATCTAGGGAGCAGAAGAGTAAGTGGAGAGTAAGTTCGTCCGCGCTTCGAGAGTGCGATTGCAATCTCGGCGCCAGCGGAACCGGTCCAGGTGAGGGGCGGGGGCCGGCCTGGGTGCGGCGGGAGCTTTGGGGTGTTCGAGGGAGCGAGAAGGAGCTGATGGCTCCGGGAGTGGTTGGGACCAATCCAGACCCCCTAAATTGGGGCCCTGGCATATGGGGGCAGCTGGAAGGCTCGGGGTCGAGACCACGGGCTCCGTGGTGATGCGGGCAGCAGCTTAAGGAGTCAGATAGCGATCGGAGCCCGGATTGGAGGAAAGGGCTTTCAGAGGACCCGGGAAAAGTGGATAAGACCTTAGAAATTTTGGGCGAGGGGGTGGCAGAGAGGAGACAGTGGGGCTAGGGGCCAGGGTCCTGAGATTGGACCCTGTGCAGGAATGAAGGAAGAGGAGATGGGGTCTGGGGCCCTTTGCAGCAGCAGTAGGGAGGTTAGGCTAGTTTTACAACCCAAGGTAGGGCCTGGGTGGTAAGATACGAGGTGAGAAGAGTCACTTTGACATTTCTTGGGGTAGGGTTCTTAGGTGGTTTGGGAAAAGTTACCAATGGTGGCTGTATTTCTGTGATATGTAGATGATGGCAGTTAAAGGAGGGACTGATTAGCATCTCCCTCCCTCCCAAAAAAGGAAAAGAGGAGTGAAGAGTTGCCTGGGTGTGAGTAGAAGACTTCTGGTCACCAACCACCCTTACTTTGCTCTCTACCCCACTGCTATTCAGTTCCTGGGGTAACTGCAGGGTTAAGGCCACTTCCAGAAGCCTAGTTCCCTGCCCCCAGCTTAGGGACATTCCTGAGGCCGCTGGAGAGGAGGAAGAATAAAAACGCTTCCATCATCCGGGCCCAAAGCCCCGGCTCCTCCTCTTCCCAGGCTTCCGGCTGGTCCCTCTGGGCTACAGGGCCGGATGGAGGCAGAGGGAAAATTGAGGGGCTTTAGTTCCTTGAAAAAGGCACTCTGATGGTGTAGTGCCTAAGTCATTTGACTGCTAACTAGAAGGTTGGCCGTTCAAACCCACTATCCGCTCTGTGGAAGGAGGATAGGGCAATTTACTTCTGTAAAGATTTACTGCTTTGGAAACCTGAGGGCAGTCGGAATTGACTCGGTGGCAGTGGGCTTGGGCTTGGGCTTGGTTCCCTGGAATTATCTGGCTGAAGCCACACCCTCCCTTCTATGGTTCATCTTCCCATCTCCCCTTTCTGAGGCCTCCTGTCCCCTCCTTTTGTCTGTGGTCATGAGGATTCCCAGCAGAGACTTTTTTTTTTTGCCCTGGCTGTGTAATAGGACACCACATACAGCCCTCTGAAGGGGCTGCGAGGGGGTTCTGAGAGGAGGGAGTGCTGTGCTAGGAGGCCTAGCCCCCACTGATCCCTGTCCCTCTCTCTCTGGGCTCAGTTTCCTCTGCTGTGCAGTGAGACATCAACCTCCAAGGTTCCTGTAGATCTGGGACTGGTTATGCCTTCTGTGCCAGGGGCAGAGTGTAGATGGGGGACACTTTGTGGTCTGGGCCTTCTGGGCCATCCACCTCCCTTTTTGCCCCAGTCCCATCCTCTTCACTCTTCTGTTTTCTTTCAGAATGAAAAAGGCAGGCAGTGACCACCCTCTGAGGCAGTTTCAAGGTACTTTAGATTCCCTCGAGTGAATTTGCAGGGTTTGAGACCCTTTGGTGGCCCCCTGATATCTCCTCCCTTTCCTCTGACTTAAAAAAAGCTCCAATCCAGTTCCAGCCCAGTCTTGACTGAGTTCTTCTGGCTGGTTGTGGGTACAGCCCATGACAATTTGATCTTGTACTTTTTTGGTGGGACTATAACTTGTCTAACCTTGGCCTGAGGGCTGGGATTTCTCTGTGGCAAGATGAGCTAGGCTGTGGGAGGCTGGTTTGCTTGCAGTAACTTGCCTTCCTCTATTCCTGCTGCTGAGTTTAACATGACAACTCTTCTCCGCAACCGCTCATCTTCCTTCATAGACTGATGTGCACACGTGAAACTAAGGCCCAAGGAGGCTCCTGGAGTGTTGTGGCAAATCCTTGGGACCAGAACCCAGGCCTCCAGCTTCCTGAGATGGAAGCCCCCCTCTGCTGGCCTGCGGAGATAATTCTGCTTTCTGCCTGCCACGTCACCAGGAGCAGGAGCAGCAGGAGCGCTGCTTTGTGGCAGTCTGAGGAATCCCAAACTAGTCATTTGGAGCTTTCTTGAAAAGTCCCTCCCAGCCCTTTGAAGTTCTGGTTAGCTGGGGTTGGGGGCTGTTAAGATGGTGTCTGCCACGTGGCAGGGCTGGGAGCCAGATCCCTTGATTGCTTCCCAAGGTGATGCAAGGGTCTAAGCTTCTGCATCAGCTTTCTGAAGTAGAGGTGGCCTTTTGTCTTGGTACTATAGTTATTAATGCCTCATTTTACTCTAGAAGCATCCTCATTTGGACAATATATTATATGGTCACTTTGCCTGTACTGCTCCAGGCTTGGTGGGGAGGGAACCAGGGCTGGGAGGCAGGTGATCTGGGCTTAGTCTGGGCCCCAAGGAATGCCTCCCATATGTCTTCCAAATCCATACGTACTTTAGAGTAAGACTCATATTTCTCTGGTACCATCCTCTGGGCATTTGTAGATCTCAGTGGCTGTCTCTTATTCCCCCACCTCCCTCGTTATGTACCCTTTGCTTCTCCCTTGCATTGTAGGACCTCAGGGTCCTGGAGGAGGGTGGCAGCCCAGGGAGGTGGGGATGGGCTATGGCAGTGGAGTCTTCCTGAAACCATGTGCGTGTTCTCACAGGTAGGCCAAAATCCTGAGTGAAGGTCTTCCACCAGGATTCCAGATTTTTTTGCCCTTCCTTGAAGAGGACCAGGGGATGGGATCCCAGCCTCTCTTTAGCCTATACCAAAGTTCCTTTTCACAGTCATCTCTTCCATTCTGCTGTGTGAAGTAGAGGGGAAGCAACCTGAAGGAGGGGAGTATGGAACTATTCCATGTAAAGAGACTGTCCTGATTTCTCCCCAGAGAGGGGAGTGGGACCATTGGTACTGCTTTGGTTTGGAGAGGGAGCCTAAGGGTAACCCCAAAGCCACAGAGCGATAGCCTGTGTGGCAGTGGCTGTCAGATGACAAGGAAGAATGGAATGTGATGTGGCCCTAGCTTCTTGGAAGACTGGACACACACCTGGCCAGTCTTTGAGCATGAGCTTGGGCTGGGGGTTGTCAGTACTCCAGTGAGCTGTGACTTACCCTCTCCTCCAGCATCCTGTCCTTGCTGCTCTCTCAGGAAGTCCCCCCACCCTGGGTTTCCGAAGGAGTTGGCCCCAAGGCCTTTAGCCCTGGGGCTTTCCCATTTGCTCCAGGGTCATTGTGCAGATGAGCAGGCCAAGGTCTTAGGCATGGAAATCTAGGCCTTTACAGCTTGGAAGGGTGACTGAGGCTCAGAGTAGGGCAGAATGCCCCCCCCCACACACACACACACAAACATTCCAGGTCACCCTTGGGGCAGTGGAATGGAGCATTTGGGATCCCTTTATTTAATAAGTGAACCAACCAGTGACTCAGTAACATCCCAGGGCAGAATGAAAGGCATGGGGGAGGGGCAGGCCTATAGCTCTTCCCTCCATGCCCTTGCCCAGGCAGCTGGGCTTCATGCAGACTTTCACCGGCGCTGTTGCTTTTTCCTGCTGGAAAAGGGTGCCATAGTTGTGTGAGATCAGGGCTGACCTCCATACACACTGATGAGGACCCCAGGTCTGGCCAAGGGGCCCTGTTTTACATTCATTCAGGAAGAGCTGAGCCCTGCTATGCATTAGGCACTGGAGATATAATGAGAAACCAGACTGGTTTTGTTTCCTATCTTCCTGGAGGTCACAGCCTAGTTAGGGACAGAAATAAATACATAAGAAGCACAAAAGTAAGATTGTGTTGTAAGTCAACACAATCAATAGGGTGGTCAGGTGGTGACTTCGCAGGAACCTGCTTTGGATAGAGATATCAGGGAAGGCCTCTGACATGATGGGCAGACAGAGCCCCATCCCGGGCAGCCCCTAGTCATGGGTTCCTCAGAACTCTGGCTGTCTCACTGCCATCACCTGGGGACTTGGTGGCAGGGAGGATGGCCGAGGGCTTCAGGGCCACCCTCTCTTTGTAGCCCTCACAGGTCTGCCAAGGTGTACACAACCCACCTCCCAGCCATGCGCTGCCTCCTGCTCTTCAGTGCCTTCTGTCTCCTGGCTCTGGCCCTGGCCGCTGAGGTGAAGAAGCCTATGGCAGCGGCAGCAGCTCCTGGCATCGCGGAAAAGCTGAGCCCTAAGGCGACCACGCTGGCTGAGCGGAGTTCCAGCCTGGCCTTCAGCCTATACCAGGCTATGGCCAAGGACCAGGCGGTGGAGAATATCTTGCTGTCACCTGTGGTGGTGGCCTCATCGTTGGGGCTTGTGTCATTGGGTGGCAAGGCGGCCACGGCATCACAGGCCAAGGCGGTGCTGAGCGCAGAGCAGCTGCGTGATGAGGAGGTGCATGCAGGCCTGGGAGAGCTGCTGCGCTCACTCAGCAACAGCACTGCACGCAACGTGACCTGGAAGCTGGGCAGCCGGCTGTATGGGCCCAGCTCAGTGAGCTTTGCTGATGACTTCGTGCGCAGCAGCAAGCAGCACTACAACTGCGAGCACTCCAAGATCAACTTCCGCGACAAGCGCAGTGCCCTGCAGTCCATCAATGAGTGGGGTGCACAGACCACCGATGGCAAGCTGCCCGAGATCACCAAGGACGTGGAGCGCACGGATGGTGCTCTGCTGGTCAACGCCATGTTCTTTAAGCGTGAGTCTTGGATAAGGCTGGGAGAGGGGACCAAGGGTGGGGTCTTGCCCCCCCAGGAACCAGTAACAAGAGTTCTAAAGGTATTCCTTGTCTTAAGCATTTTATTGCTTCTCATTCAGTCTTCATAACAACCTGTCAAGACAGGAGGCTATTAAACCCTTTCACGTACTAGCAAGAAGATTTAGAGAGCAGGGATTCAGACTGTGCAGAGGTACTCCAGAGAACATGATCCTACATATTTTATCAAATCAACGGCTATTGCTTGTAAAATGCAGTCTGATTTTAGAGGTATTAAATCTTCCAAGAGTAAGTGTCTTGGAATCAATAAAATCCAGTGATCGATTCTGCCTCAGTAGTGAGCTGGAGAAAGGCCCCCCACTCCTGTTGTCATCCATAATCCTCAAAGCAACCCTGAGGTCAGGCAGTGCCATGTTTATTTCATAGGTGAAGAAACAGCTCAGCTAGGAGTTAGCAGAGCCAGAACTCAGGCCCAGGTGTGTCTGGCGCTGGGTCAGTTTTAAATTGAATATTAGACTTGGGTTAATGAATACTTTTGAGAATCTCTGTAAATTGACTGTTTCCCTCAGAGTTGATAGGAGGATGAGGCAGCCTCTGTTTTGCAGATGAGGAGACCAAGGTGAGAGAGGTGGGAAGGTCTTACTGTTACTCAGTGGCTGAGCTTGGATTTGAATACAGGTCTGTGGTAAGGGCATGGCAGAACACAGGCCACTGTCACACACACTGTACTTGGGTCATATGTTTTGGCCACTTAGACACTTTGCAGACAAGATTTAAGGGTGGTTTTAGGGTACTTCTTGCCCAGAGTACAGACCCCTCAGTTAGCAGGTGGGATGGAAAGCTCAGTTCAGCACAGGTGCCAGCCAGGTCAGAATAAGAAGATGGACGTGGAAGTGGCTGAACTGAGGGTCCTCTCCTGAAGGATTCTCTGTCATGTGGAAATAGCCGTGTCCTGACTGTGGAGACCACAACCTCAGACAGCATGTCCTGGGGCTGAGACTCCCTTCCCAAAGCAGAGAACATGTATTTCGAGGTTGAGTGCTTAGGGAGGAGATGGGCCACAGCTGGACCCAAAGGCCTGGTGGCAGGGATAAATCCCGGGTGTGCAGCTGGGGTGGTGTGGGCTGTGATTGTGTTGGGGGGCATGTCTTGGAGTGGACCCTGTGTTCTGATCCTGTGTTTTGCCTCCCACTGTAGCACACTGGGATGAGAAATTCCACCACAAGATGGTAGACAACCGTGGCTTCATGGTGACCCGTTCCTATACTGTGGGTGTCACGATGATGCACCGTACTGGTAGGTGCCTTATGGGACAAGGGGATGGTGTCTGAGGTGCTTGGGGCCTGTCCCACTGCCAGTCCACAGCATAATGTCCGGTGCCCTTGCTGCCTTTTTTCCAGGCCTCTACAACTACTATGATGATGAGAAAGAGAAGCTGCAAATTGTGGAGATGCCTCTGGCCCACAAGCTCTCCAGCCTTATCATCCTCATGCCTCACCATGTGGAGCCCCTTGAACGCCTTGAAAAGCTGCTGACCAAGGAGCAGCTGAAGATCTGGATGGGGAAGATGCAGAAGAAGGCTGTGGCCATCTCCTTGCCCAAGGGTGTGGTGGAGGTGACCCACGACCTGCAGGTGAGGGATGGCCCAATTCAGGGCCCTGCAGGGCTTGAGGGAAGAAGGGGCTTGGGGCACCCAGTCATCAGCTCAACAGGTCTTCCTTGAGACCCCCAGGTGTCCGGGTAATACTGGGTTCTGCTGTGGGAGCAGCTTAGGGAAGAGGCGTGGGCCCTGCCCTTGGGAAGGTGATGATCACACCATTATTTCAATGTAATTCAGCACTTGCTGCATGCCAGGCATTCTTCGAAGTTCTTTGTATGCATTATACTCTTAATCCTCAAAACAGGGTAGAACCACAAACCCAGTTTTACAGAGGAGGAAACTGAGGCTCTGAAAGGTTAAGTGACTTATCCAAAATCCTGTCTAAACCCCAGAGTGATGTGAATATAGCTATCCTTTAGATCTGTCTTTCCTAAAGTTGAATGTGCTAAGAATCACTTGGAGGGTTTATTACAGCAAGATTCCTGAGTCAGTGGTTCTGGGCTGCTGGTCCCATGGACCACACACACATTGTGAAGGTCTGGTCAAGATTGCTCAGAGGGCTGAGCATGAATTCTGACTTTTTACTGAGTCTCAGTTTCCTCATCTGTGAAGTGGGCATTAGAATCTCTTGCAGGATTGCTGTGAGAATTAAGAAAACAGTAGTTTGAATGGCCCAGCACCACGTTTGGCACATACAAGGCTCCTCCTTTTTGAGGAATGGATAGGATAGGAGATGGTGGGCCGCTTGGATGGAGGGGGTGGGTCTCTGAACCTTGTCTGTCATGACCTCACTTGGTGCCCACCTGGTCCCACAGAAACACCTGGCTGGGCTGGGCCTGACTGAAGCCATCGACAAGAATAAGGCAGACCTGTCACGTATGTCGGGCAAGAAGGACCTGTACCTGGCCAGTGTGTTCCATGCCACTGCCTTTGAGTGGGACACAGAGGGCAACCCCTTCGACCAGGACATGTACGGCCGTGAGGAGCTGCGCAGCCCCAAGCTGTTCTATGCTGACCACCCCTTCGTCTTCCTGGTGCGAGACACCCAGAGTGGCTCCTTGCTGTTCATTGGGCGCCTGGTCCGGCCCAAGGGTGACAAGATGCGTGATGAGTTGTAGGGCCCCAGGGTGGGCACGGGATGTCAGGAGGTAACTGAAGGCTCCTGAGACACATGGGTGCTATGGGGGTGGTGGGTCTGAGGTACTGGCCTTGGACATCCCATGGGGTGGGGTGGGGGAAACAGACCAGGATTGCCAAGTGTCTAAGTGGACCTTCCCAGCCAGAATCCACTCCGCTTGGACATGGACCCCAGATACTATGATGCTGGGGCCAGAAACTCCGTATCCTGTGGGACCTGGGCAGTAGTCGTCATGCCCTGGCTTCAGGGTCCTAGGATCAAGCCTCAATCAGTGTTCATATTTATAGCCAAGTGTGTTTTCTCTGTGAACCGGAGTCGAGCTGGTGGGGTTCAGCCCAGCTCTATCCCAACCTGTTCCCAATGTCCCTCAACTACAAACTAGGTGCTGCAGCCCCTGGGAGCAGGTACCCTTAGAAGGGCCCTGGCCCTGGTGAGGGGGATTGCAAAAGAGCTCGCAGGAAGGGGTCCTGGCAAACTCTGGTCAAGAATTGTTGCATCAGGCATCATAGGGATGAACCTTTTTTTTTTTTTTCCCCCCAATTTTTCAAAGATGAGGAGGGGAGGGAAAACATGAACTTTTGTTGCTGTCAAACCAAGAACTTATTTGTGTTACTTTGTTTTTCAATAAAACTTTTCCAGTGAAGGTTTGTTGGAGCATGGAAGAAGATTGGATGATTGGGAGAGTCCTGTACCGTTGTTAGGGGATGAGGTCTCACTCTGTTTAGCCAACTTGCCTATTAACAATGCCTATTAGGTCCTCAAACGTTGGTGGTTAACTCTGTGCAGATAATACTGTGCAGCAGGCCTATTATTTGCTGACTCAGAAGAGTGTGGTGGTCTGATTGCCTGTGGCAGGCCTGGTGAGGTTGTGGCTCCAGAGCCTAGATGACACCACTGGCACTGGAGCCCAGGGCCTCCCAGGCCTGCTCTGCAGGGACTTAGTTTTCAGCCCTCAGCCCTTTGTTTCCTGCTGACCTCACTCTATACCCAGGGACAAAGAGTACAAACACAGGCAGACATGGAGGACATTGCCTGATGTTGGGCAGGGCTTTTGAAGGAAGGAGCTGTAGGGCATCCTTCCTCTTGGGTGACTCAACAAATTGGATTTGTAGTAGGAAGGGAGGAGAGGTACAAGAAGGTCCCTCCTGAAGCACTTGCTTCTCAAGGCCCCAGGGTTCGACTGGTGTCTAGAGAAGCAGAGGAAACTGGATTCCAGCCCCTTTTCTGCTGCTTGCTATCTGTGTGACCTTGGGCAGGTCACTTCCTCTCTCTGGCTCCCCTCTGCCAACAAATTGCCCTGGGGGTACTTGGCCAGGTACCCCAACTGTGCTCCAGGATGTGAATGGGCTAAAGAAGGGCCAACTGATACATTCCCATTCCCACTATTACCGCAGTAATAATGGGATATCGACAAAACTGCTTGGAGACTCAGGTCTGTCCTGTGCTGTAGACAACTAGAATTCAGATCTTTGTCCTCAAGGTGGAGACTTAGGGACAGTGACTGATCTTTTTGCTCCCCTGCCTCAGGACCTTTGCACTAGTGAATCTCAGGTTTTCGCAATACCGTTTTTTTGTCACTAGGACACGGGTCATCTGCTCAGAGCAGCCTTTCCTGATTGTCTAATACAAAGCAGCCTTTCTCCCACCTCGGTTTCTGTACTGTGTTTTCCCATTTTATTGGCTCCTTAGCACTTTGGCATTATCTACTTAATTGGCATGTTCACTGTCTCCCCTACTAGCATGGAAGCACTGAAAATTTGGACCATGTCTATCTATCCATTGCTGTGTGTGTTGCACCTAGATTCAGCATTTTACACAAATGAGGCACTCAAAATATATTTGCTGATTGAATACATGAAAGGGTTGTGCTAGAAGGGTGCTGGGAGCTGTGGAAGCCCAGAAGAGGAAGCACGGCTGCCTGGGGAGATCAAGGAAGGCTCCCTGAAGGAGGTGGCATCTGGGCTGCCCTAAAGGGTGAGTCTTGAATAATACTGGCTACTACTTTGTGTTTTGCTCCTGTTACTGAGTCGATTCCAACTCATGGTGACCCTATATGACCGAGTAGAATTGCCCCACAGGATTTCCTAGGCTGCAATCTTTACTCAAGCAGATCACCGGGTCTTATCTCCTACATAGCAGCTGGATGGGTTTAAACCGCTGACCTTTTGTTTAGCAGCTGAGCACTTAACCCTTGTACCACTAGGATTCCTCAAAAACAAACCGACTTACTGCCATTGAGTCATTTCCAACTCAGTGACCCCCATTGGGTTTCCAAAGCTGTAAATCTTTATGGAAGCAGACTGCCTCATCTTTTCTCCACAGAGTGGCTGTTGGGTTCAAACCACTGACCTTTTGGTTAGCAACCAAATGCTTTAACCTCTGCATCACCAAAGCTCCTTGCTAGGGCTCCTGTGTACCAAATACCAGGTTGGTCACTTAATATATATAAATTTTGTTCAAGCCCTTTAACAGCTTGGCTAGGTAGAGGTTATCCCCCTTTTATAGGTGAGAGAACTTAGGCTGAGAGCGGTTAAGTGAGTTGCCTGAGGATCTACAGCCTGAGCTGAGATTTGATCCTAGACAGTGGGAGAGTTGCTCTTGCCCGCGTGCCACACAGGAACGGCAGGAGAGACTGGCCAGACTCCAAAAAGAGCGGGACATAACCTGTGTATAGTTTACACTTCTCTCATTTAAACCCCACAATACCCTAGTTACATGGGAAGTCATTCAGTGGCATGCAGAACCTGGGCTGGAACCTAAGACTCCTGGCTCTAAGATTTCAGCCTGCAACAGCTCTGCACCAGGTGAGGCGGGCAGTGGAAGAAGCCAGATCTAAGTATGGGGCAGCCCAGGTGGCCCAGGCTACAATCCTTGATCCAGGTAGAGGTGGAGAAGGGGCTAAAAGCCCTGTGCTCCCATCTCAAATGTGCTCACTCCTTCACAGTGATGGGTGGGGTTGCTGGTGTGGAGGGTGGCAGCATAGGTGGAGAGGTGGGCAGGTTGGGGTGGGGGCAGGAGTCCAGCCAGTGTTAGCACCTCCCAGTGGTCCATCATGGCCCTGCATGGAGCTTTCCTGCCACCTAGAGGCCATTGTTATTCCCATCACACCTGATTGCTGTGGAGTCAAACTCAAGGCAAATCCCTGTGTGTCAGAGTAGAACTGTGCTCCATAGAGTCTTCAATAGCTGAATTTTCGTAAGTAGATCACCAGGCCTTTCTTCTGAAGTGCCTCTGGACTTGAGCCTCCTAACTTTTCAGTTAGCAGCTGAGCACATTAACCATTTGCACTACCCAGGGACTGCATTCCCACCGTGGTGACTAAAAAGTTTCAGAGAGATGATGACCCTGAGTGAAAGGCCAGTAGCCTTCAGGAATGACCCTTCAGTAGCACTACAAATACACATTATAAACCTCCCTTTAAGCCTTCCTCAAAGCATCCTGGGCCATTTGCCAGAGAACTGTACTCTCTTGAAAGGAAAATACAAAGATGCTTTGGGAGAAGTGAGCTTTGAGTCTATCTGATGCTAATTCCCGAGGACCCAGAAAGCCATGTTGTAGAGGCTCCAACGGGTCAGGTGATAATTGGAGATTTGACCCAAGTCTGGGCACAAAGTGTCCAGTGGAACCCTGGACTCACCCTGAGACTATATTTTAATTTCCTGGTGTATAATGGAAATAGTCACCTTCAGCAACAAGCAGAATTCACCCATGAGCCTCCAGACCTGTGCAATAAGGGCTGCTGTGGTAGCTAGAGCCAAGTGGAAGCCCCTGAAAATTCTTACCAAAATAATAATCCAAAAATTATCCTACAGTTCTGGGAGAATCACAGAAATTTGTGCCATCATCAAAGACTTAAAGATGCAAGGGTGGTTTCTAACATATGCCCGCTGAACTCACCTGTTTGGTCTGTGTGGGAGGCACAAGTCTTGGAGAAAGACAGGAAGTTGTCATAAGCTTATTTAGGTGGTGATTCCAGTTGGAGCTGCTGTTCTAGGTGTGGTCTTTTTATGGAGCAAATCTACATATTTATTCTCACTTGGCATGAAGCTGTTTATCTGGAAAATCATTTTTCCTCTTCCTCTATAATAGAGGACACCAAAAGCTGTTTCCTTTCTCTTGACAGGGACCTTTCTCATTTTGTCTTAAAGTCTCTGGTTCTCTGCTACGGTTTAGTTCATGAGGATTTTTGATCATCCTTCAACATCCTAGGACACTGTACTTCCCACTGTACTGATTACCTTCTGTCACTAGGATTTGGAGAGTAGAAAGTAGCAGATACTTCAGATGTGTTGATGTTATATAATATACCTGAGAAAAGGAGATAAATCCCATTTAGGTCCCCAATATAGGGACCTGCCACCTGAAGTTTCTGGGGGTTAAGTGGTCTTGGTCATGCCAGGAAAGAGCCTACAATCTGAAAGATAACTTGCTAGAGTTTATGCCCCTCACTGGTAATAAAAGACACAGAATTAACAAATTTTGTGTATTTTGGAGGCAACATGTATTATGTTTTGATGCATCCCTATGACTGACTGACTGATTTGTAATAGTGCCAGCTTTGAGTGGGGCCCAGAGCAAGAGAAGGCTTTCAGGTGGTCCAGGCTGAAGGGCAAACAGCTCCACCACATGACTGATAATCCAGCAGATCTAAAGGTGATTCAAGTGTCTACGGCAGATGGTGATGATCTTTGAACCGATGGCAAACCCTGATAGAAGGATCACAATGGAGTATTCTAGGATGTAGGAGCAAACTCTCCCACTTTTTAGCAATTTCTTCCTTCTGAGGAAAAGTTGTTGGCTTGCTGTTAGGCCCTAGCTGGGAATGGTCCCTGTGTAGGAGGTATCCAGTGACTATGAAAGTAAGTAATGAATGAATACAATCTTCTCTTTTCTTAGGAATTCTTACGGTATAAGCGCTCAAACCCATGGCTGTTGAGTGCATTCTGACTCATAGTGACCCTATAGCGCAGAGTAGAATTG